TAAAAAATAACTTCTCCCCTGTAGAAAATTTCAAAGTTCAAGGTCCTATCCTGAAAAGAATATGTGGGTTTTAAGTGAGTTATCTAAAGAAAACAATAACATCTCAAAGTTTTGTTTTGTTTGATTATTAGTATACCGCTGCCTTGTTATGAACATGCACTCGTTTTCATGGGGCATTATTGCTTTTTAGAGTTATGCTGCGTCAAAGTTATTGAAAAATTTGGTTTTTTGTGTTTATCTGCCCTGAAAATCTTGGTTAAATTACATCACCCCAATTATTTCCTTACTGAATCTTAAAAATAGGGCAATCTCTTGACCCAGCACTTTTCTTAGTTATTGATTTCTTTACTAGATATAGCCAGGCATTCAAACTTTCGAAAGATGCAAAATCTGCTTTTTTTAAAGCTTTTCTCAAAACAGCATAATCTCTTGAAAAAAGAAACTACTTGTATTCTATCTTGTAGGTAAATGTTTCTACTAGCACCTGAAAGAGGAAAATGAATGGGACCTCCCCCCTTTTCCAAGATTATTATTACACTTCCAAATGGATTAGCTATTTTTCTTGTGCTGCAATGCTTTTTTGAGAAAAGCTAAACAAAAAAATGCAGGATTTTTGAAAAATTGAATGGTTATATCTACTAAAAGCATCGATAAGTCAGGAAAGCTCTAGATCACAGAGCTTATCCTATTAGTGAACATTAATATTTAGAAAATTAATTATTGAAATGCTGTTGTTTAACCAAGATTTTCAGGATTATCACTGAATTTTTCACTGCCATAGTGAATAACTCTGAAAAGCAACAATCCCTTACGAAAACGAGTGCATGTCCATAACTAGGCAGCAATATACTAATAATATAGCAAAACAAAACCTTGGGATCATTGTAGCCTGAAATGAAATTTCAATACAATTGACTTTGAAATTTTCTGTGGGAGAGAAAAATCTTTTTAGGAGCTCTAACTTGCACAATATTCATTTTTCATAACTTACTTCAATGTGAAAAAAATCAAACTAATCTAATAATAAACTATCAATATATATATATAGTGAGTATAATCATATAATTCTAAATCACGCAAAGGGTTAACGCTTTCCACTCGACAGGTGACTGTCAGTCACCAATGTCACCTGTCAATTACCCACCACTCTAATTGTGATATTTTTTTCAACTCATTGTTTAGTTACCACTTCATTCAGCGGTCTCAGAGTATTATAAGGTAAGTTTGTAAAAATCTTTCAAAATGTTAGTGGTTGCGTCCATTTTTTTCACTGTTGAAAGAACTTCGAGTGCAAAATGGTTAAATGTCTGCAACTCTATTAAATATTTGGCAATGTAGTAGTTGGCAGTCCTGATTCTATAATTGCATTTCAATAAGTCTTTTTAACACCATTTGAGAAATATTTCATCGGAAAGAGTAAAAATTGGCAGATCTGTCACGTGGTGAGACTATTAAAATGTTTGCAATATTACCTAAAATTCGGAAATCTTCAGTTTTTAGTTGTCTACTACTGTATTAAATATCCTCCAAAAATCGTAGCAGTTTAGAGCCCTGTATTTTTTCCTAGTTTTAATATGAAAAAAAAATCGTACTACCACAGTTTACTTATTTTTGTTTTTCCTTTTAGTGTTGGATTCATCTGGGAAAATACCGAATGGTGTGATGGGCGGAAATCCTATGGCGTTTGGCGACTTTGATACATGTCTTCAAATAGAATCTCCAAGTCGAAGTTTTCATGGACAGTATTGCCATATAGATTTAAATCTACCATTGCCAGAGAAACCACTAATGTCACCAATAGAAATGCCAATTGAAATCATTCATAGTCTGTTTGAACCTAACACAGTAAATAGCTTTAAATGAATCTTTATGTAACATAAGACATCATTGATTTAACCCGATATCATTTCATACATCTGCTATGTCACTTAATTACCTAACACTAAATACTTAATATTTTTTTCATCCTGCAACATAATTGTTTCAGCAACGACTTTAATTTCTAAATTTATTTCTTATTAAATTCTTCTCCAACTTTTTCTTTCGCTTTCTAAGCTTCTTCGCTTTTTTCTGACATATAACTTATGTGAATGATAAAAAAATGAGTGATAAAATGATAAAAAAATTATTGAATAATAAAAAAATTATTTCATATTACCGGAGTATGTCATTCCCCTCCCCTTAAAAGTTTAACTTTTAAGAGCGTTATTTTGATCTTCAGACAATGTGCGATAGTTGTATTTTTTGATGGGCTTGATTTTATTTTATATTGATGTAGGTTATAAAAAATGTATATTGCGTCAGTTTGAGCTCCTAAAAAATAACTTCTCCCCTGTAGAAAATTTCAAAGTTCAAGGTCCTATCCTGAAAAGAATATGTGGGTTTTAAGTGAGTTATCTAAAGAAAACAATAACATCTCAAAGTTTTGTTTTGTTTGATTATTAGTATACCGCTGCCTTGTTATGAACATGCACTCGTTTTCATGGGGCATCATTGCTTTTTAGAGTTATGCTGCGTCGAAGTTATTGAAAAATTCGGTTTTTTGTGTTTATCTGCCCTGAAAATCTTGGTTAAATTACATCACCCCAATTATTTCCTTACTGAATCTTAAAAATAGGGCAATCTCTTGACCCAGCACTTTTCTTAGTAATTGATTTCTTTACTAGATATAGCCAGGCATTCAAACTTTCGAAAGATGCAAAATCTGCTTTTTTTAAAGCTTTTCTCAAAACAGCATAATCTCTTGAAAAAAGAAACTACTTGTATTCTATCTTGTAGGTAAATGTTTCTACTAGCACCTGAAAGAGGAGGAAAATGAATGGGACCTCCCCCCTTTTCCAAGATTATTATTACACTTCCAAATGGATTAGCTATTTTTCTTGTGCTGCAATGCTTTTTTGAGAAAAGCTAAACAAAAAAATGCAGGATTTTTGAAAAATTGAATGGTTATATCTACTAAAAGCATCGATAAGTCAGGAAAGCTCTAGATCACAGAGCTTATCCTATTAGTGAACTTTAATATTTAGAAAATTAATTATTGAAATGCTGTTGTTTAACCAAGATTTTCAGGATTATCACTGAATTTTTCACTGCCATAGTGAATAACTCTGAAAAGCAACAATCCCTTACGAAAACGAGTGCATGTCCATAACTAGGCAGCAATATACTAATAATATAGCAAAACAAAACCTTGGGATCATTGTAGCCTGAAATGAAATTTCAATACAATTGACTTTGAAATTTTCTGCGGGAGAGAAAAATCTTTTTAGGAGCTCTAACTTGCACAATATTCATTTTTCATAACTTACTTCAATGTGAAAAAAATCAAACTAATCTAATAATAAACTATCAAAATTTTTAATTTTTTTGTCTGATTTAAAAAAAAAATGGCTTTAAATACCTTTAAAATAAAATTTATTTTATTTTTAGGTAATTAAATGTTGGAATATGAATTGCAAGAGACCTAGTAATAAATAAAAAATAGTTTATATTTCATGAGGATTACATTAATGTCCAGAATAGTGGTTCTTGTGGTAGCGGAATTTTCATTAAGACTCCTGACTTTTCTAGAAAACTTACGATTAAGAATCCAGACTTCTGCTCTCTTTTTAGATCTGAGCTAATTGCCATCGAAGAGGCACTCAACGCTATTGGATCTATAACATCATCCGCTAATATCTGGATCTTATTCGATAGTCCTAGTGCCATACTGCACTTAAGTAACTGGAATAAGGCTGGCGACAAGACATCTGTCTCTGTACTTAATAAAATTAAACAACTCTCTCATCGGCTTAAAATCTTCATTCAATGGATTCCCTCTCACATAGGCCTCTTTGGTAATGAAAATGCTGATCTTTTGGCCAAGCAGAGAGCCTCTGATAGCACAATTTCAAGTCGACCTTTGACCTTCCCTGAGATCTGCTCCAAGATCAGAACCACTAACCAACAACTATGGAACATCCCTCCGGCCCACTCTTGGTATAATGGACAGACTCTTGGTGGGGCACTTACCATGGGGGCTGATAGAGCCATACAGTCCACAATAAGTAGGCTCATAAGTGGACACATCAGGTGTCTCTCTTTTGAGCTTTGGCGAAAGACCTATTCAACGTGCGTGAGGTGTAACTCTGCACAGGCTTCTCCCAATCACATTTTACACTATCTTGGTCTGGAAAAGAAAGACCTCTACTCTGGTCCCTTACTCGTATTTGATTTCCTGAAGACTTTCGAGCTCATTGACTTGGTCTAGCCTGCGGCTGACCAAGAGGAATAAGTCAACAACAAAACATCAATGTCATCCACCCAACCTAAAAAAGAAAGTTTTAGGTACTCCCCAAAAACTTTTAAGCTTATTTTTTGTTTGTAATTTTTAATGTTCCAAAAGTGAGAATTTAATGTATATGGATCTTAGCTATGAAATTAGTTTCTCTTCCTGTGGATGACAATTCCTTTCCCTCCTAAACATGTAAATTCTATATTCTTTACAAATAAAACTTTTTTGCAAATTTTATTTTAAATTTTAAGCAATTAAATGTTAAGACATTATTTGTATTTATTCTAATAATAAAAAAAAATTCTCATTCCAAGCGGAAGATATTCCCCCTCCTCTCTACAGCTTTAAATTTTAAGTACATAAAAATAAATAAAATATTTGCTTACATTGTTTTTTCTAATTTTATAATTTAGAGGATATTCAGTACAGGTTTTTACTACTTTTTAAAATTCTAGACTATACTTTAGCGTTAGGAAATGATTTATGTTGGTTGCTATTGAGAAAAAAAATTCCTAAAAAATATAGAGGTTGAATGACCATTACACTATAACACTATGTCAGGAAATATACTGTTTTAGCCATTTTGCGCTTCCATTTTTTAATTTCGATGTTAGAATATATCTTCAAGGCTACCAACTTTCAACGCTTTTTGTAAAATTCACTCTAGTGGTAGCTAAGTTTATGTTTTATGTTTTATTCATTTAAGCTTATTATCCACACCGCTACATATAAATGATTTAAAAGTTCGTATGCAACGCTACTTTGTTCAAGCTCCATCGTGTTGAAACTTTCAAAATGTTAAAAATACTACCAGAAATTTTGTAAGTTTTTGTTCTTATAGCTACCGCTCTGTAAAATATTTTGCAAAAAGCGTAGCAGCTGGCAGGCCTGCATCTTGTAAAGGATATAAAATTAAAATATATATAAATATATATCACCTGAAA